ATGTCTCCTACATTTCAGCACCACTTGCACAATCATGAACACAGTGGAGTGTTATAAAAAGCATAACTTGAACACTTGATGGTGAATGTATTCCTTCCCTCTCAGCACACAGTTTCCCACCTCTGTTGTAACGCATGAAAAAGATATTTATTCAAGCTGCAAGGTGACATACTCAAAATGAAAAATGGAAAGAGCTTTTTACATAGCCAGTGTTGCTAGACTGGAAAACTTGATGAAGCCAAGAAATCAGCAAGTTGAAGGCATTCTTATCCACACAAGCTGTTTCATCAGCTATGAAAGAGTGGTTAAAAATTGTTTTGGAAGAAAGAGAACTTCATATCTCAGAACTAAAGACTTGAAGCTAGTCCAGGCATTTACTGTGTCATAGAATTCCTTTCAAAAATTAGTCAAGCTGCTCCTATAACTAATTATAGTTTTCTTCCCATAAGGTTCCTGTAGGAGGCATTCAAAGGACAATCTGAATGGTCTCTTTTGGGGTTTGAATGAGAGCTTTTAGGGGAACAGGGCTGCTAGTGGCTCTTCTTTGCCAGCCTGCTAGATAAGACGCTGGAGGGCTTACCATGAGTTGTGATGCCACTTGGCAGTCCCAGTGTGTGCTTGGACATGGATGATAATGGTGCTGTTGTCTTCTGGGGAGGCTCTGAGGATGAAGAAATATGTAGTGGAATCCTCAGTGAGAGCTGTCTAATTATCTAGGGCTTTGAAGGGTACAAAGCTTCCCATTGTTACTTGACCATATAACAGATCTGCTTATGGTTTATTTAGAGCTGGACTGATGTTCCTAGTACCAGGGCTTTTGCTCTTCAAGAAAAACTCTTGGTGTTCTCTAACTCTTTGCCTTGGTGAGTCCTTTGCCTGGTCTGTCTCAGCTGGAATTTTTTTCCTGAAGCACGACCTTAGTTTCACTGCCCTGCCCTGTAATGTCCTAACCTGAACAGGTCACTGCAAAGCCTGTTTGTCATGTGGAACCTTCATTTGGAAGAGGTTGATTTCTGTCATCTTGTAGCACGTCTGTTAGACCTTTGAAGCTAGCCCTGCTTTGAGCAGCTTTTGGATCAGTGACCTCCAGAGGTCCCTTCCAACCCGAATTGCTCCATGAGTCTGTACTCAGTGATCTCTCCTTCCCGCTCCCCAGTGATGGGGATGCTGGCGTGCAGGCAGCGGTGAGCCAGGATGTCAACAGGGTTGTTTCCTCCCTGTGCCGTTGTCTTGTGCTCCAAATACTGCGGGATTCTGTCTGCTGCTGTGATTCTCTGAACGCTCTGCTGTGTTTGGCATCTCACACCTGCTCTGGTTGATGCTGCTCCCACGGTTTCTGTGTCACAACTTTTCAGGTGGCATCATTTGCAAATGGAAGTTTGGTATTTTCGCATTAAGCTAGGAAAAGTACAAGTGGAAGAAGAGAATTTGTGAGCAATGCTCTCCAAAACAGACACGTTGCCCTTGTGTTACAGGGCTTGGAGCCGGGTAGGTGTCGTGGGGCCAAAGGTGTGCTCACAAACGCTCGCTCAGAAGAGGCTGACGGGGGCTGAGGTGACCAGATCCAAATTCTCGCTCTGGCGTATGCTGCCTTACGACGTTGGACAGGTCACCGAGTCGCTCTGTGCACGGAGAGAGGACTGTGTTAGCACTTCTGTGTCTCACAGGAAGGCTGTGAGCGTTGAATATATTAAAAACAGGCTGTCGGTATGATACTGTGCAAGCACCGCAGTGTCGGCAGTAGACATCTGCACAGAGCTGCTGCTCAGTCTTTGCACCTAAAACAGTAAAAACAGCTCCGCTGTTGTATTTGATCCAACAAAACAAGTTGTCTGGCAGGCTTCTGCAAATCAACATCACCGTGCCTGGAGAGGTGGTAGGGACTGATCTGCCATCCCTTCGCAGTCATATACGCAGGATTGTCTCTCCCTCCTGCCTCCCCTTCCCAGGAGCATTTCCTCGTACGATGGGGCAGGCTTTATGAGGGCACGTCAGCTCTGATTCCTCCTGAGTGGTAATACATCCAAGGAATCCTGTAACAAAAGCTTTGCTGAAGATGGGCGCAGAAAGGAGAAACGTGACGTGGCCTGTGCAAACCTTTGGAAGCAAAGCTGTCGCAAGGACATGGCTCGTGTCACGGGATGTGCACCGCTGGCCTCAGGAATCTGTTCCTCCGTGAACTTGTTGCTGTTGCCAGCAGATAAAGAAAGCTGAAATACGCTGGGGGGGAGCAGGATTTTTTTCAGAAGATCGCATGCTTTACTCCTGTAACATTACTGTACCCCGGACTGCGGTTTTGGGTTCGCTGGGGCTGTGTTGGAATTGCCGAGGGCACAGTGAACGTTTTCCATTGCACTGGAGAGGGTTAATGGACGTCGAGTACAGTGGGTTTGTGCGCTATCGGCAGGAGAGAGACCACAGCATTCCAAACCTACAGCCTTTTCTCTTCTAAGCATCTTTTGTTCACGGAAGATGAGCAGTGAAGGGAGAGCCTTATAGAGGTAAGAATACGTGACAAGGAGAACCTACATGCAGCTCTCTTGCTTTTCATTTATCAGACCCAGTGTTACTGGGTATAAGTTCTGCACCATTTATTCGGTTCTTAGAACCCAGTGTTACTGGGTATAAGTTCTGCAGACCAGGTCCTCGGCTCCACTTTGTGATACCATTTATTCGGTTCTTAAAGTGCCTGGCTGACTCCATGGGTAGGGTTAATTTGCTTATTTTGGCATTGGCAGGAATCAGACACTCACCATAACACACTCCCTTTTGTAAGACAAGGATGTCCTGTAACCACAGCTCTCCCAGGATGGTCTGATTGTCTTAGGATCCATCTTCCATGGCTGGTTCAGCTGGTACATTTTTTTGGCAGCCAGGGCTCGGGTCTTCTTTCCAGAGCTCCCAGGCAGCATGACGTGTGCTGTGTGGGAAGGAAGCCTGTATTGCCCAGCTCGCAGTGCTGCAGCCTCACTAACCTGTATTTGCTTTAAGTGCATGCCGCTGATTTTATTACTTTCTTTCTAATCTTCTATCTTCTGCTTCTTTCCAGTTCTCTGGTCTGTGTGCTGTCACTCGTGACCCCATCAGTGTGCACCTTCTTGGGCTTTCCTTTTTCTCCCCATGTCATCACTGCTCTGCCAGGACATGTGGTGTGCCCCCAATCCCCCCCCAGCACATCCCCCCGTGCTCTGCTCTGACAAACACCCTGGGAGCCGTAGTACATGGGTGTCCTGGGCACACACAGCTGCTGGCACTCGTGCCGTAGGAAGAGTGACCACGAAGGTACAGGCACATAGTGAGGGGGGCAGGCGCCCAGCAAGGGCTAGATGCGCCTTGGCAGTTTTCTTGCTGTGCAATGCTGTTTTAGAGATAGAATCATAGAATCATGAAGGTTGGACAAGACCTCAAGGATCATCAAGTCCAACCATCAACCCACACCACCTAACTCACTGAACCATGTCCCTAAGCACCACATCTACACGTTTCTTGAACCCCTCCAGGGATGGTGACTCCACCACTTCCCTGGGCAGCCTGTTCCAATGTTTCAGTGAAGAAATTTTTTCTAATATCTAGCCTAAACCTCCCCTGGTGCAACTTGAGGCCGTTTCCTGCAAGTGTTCCAGGCCCTGTGGCAATCAGACCTTTCGTAATGTGTGTGTCCATTTTGCTTCCCCTGTTCTCGTGGCCAAAGGACGGCGCATGCCAACAGGCGTCAGATCTACGTGCAGATGTACAGTAGGAGAATGTCAGATGTGTGCACGCACACTCACTCACAGCCCGTGCTCCCGCAGCCTGCTTCACGCATCCACACATCCACACCTCTTGGTAACTGCTCCTGGGCCTTTTCCGTTCGTCTGCTGGGTATTTCTAGTCCTCGCATCCCAGCCCGTGAGGAGGGCAGCCTCTGGGTGCGGAGGCTCTGAAGGCTGATGCTTCTGGGCACGTCATCCCAGATTGCCCTCTGCAGGTTCCAGCTTCTTCGGCAGCGGTTGGTGTTGGACAGGATCAGATGTAGGAGCCTGTTTTAATCAAGGTTACCCCTATATCACACCCACATTTCTTCTTGCCAGGGTATGTTCCTGTATCTGTTTCTTTCTTTCTTTTTTACTGCGATGTTCATCACCATCATCTCCTCTTCCTCTTCCTCCTTTTCCTCCTCTTCCTCCTCCTCCTCCTCCTCAGATCCTCAGCTCTTGAAGACAGTATTAAACAGTACGAGCAGGATCTGGCCAGGAAGCTGTACCAGTCCCGGCAGCGGGCTCCTGCTCCCGGGGCCAGGCCAGCTCAGATGTCTAGTCCAGTGCAGAGTCGCGCCTCGAGATCCCCCGGGTCAGGAACCCAATCCAGGTGTGCACAGCCCCCCGCCGGCTGCATGCTCCGTACCATCTGTGTACCTGCGTCCTCGCCCAGCGCTCCAGCCGTGCCCGCCGGGGTAGGGAGGCGAT